CCATCAAGGGATTTCTTTTATTGTCAATTTTACTCTGTATGGTATGACTTACAATTCCATAGGGAAGCTGCCCCACGGTTGAGTGGGTGGCACAGGGAAAACCTTGTCTGTTTCCTACGTAATTGGCAGGGGGTGATGGGTGCACTCGATCCTACCTCTCCACTTAAAGCGTTGGGCAGTGGGAGGCTGTCGGTAACATGAGTTGTCCAAAGTGTAATTAGTCACTGATATTTCCAGCCAGTATCATGAAAAGTCAATGGAAGTAGAGGAATTTACTCTCACATAAACTGCAGTGAGTTTGTGGTTTCACTCTGCATGTGGGCACTGTCATATAAGGTACTAGGAAACACTGAGCCACTCAGTTTCTTAGGAAGGAAAGGACTGATTGTTTTAGAGGTGATAACAAGTATTCTATTATTAAATCCTTTAGTCGTCAAATGTGACTTTCCTTCTTTCTGTTGTAAGAGAAATACCTCCCTTCTCCATAATGTAGACTATTCCAGATTCTAATTCCCGAAATTAACTCAAAATCCAGCATGTCCAAGATGTGGAGATCTCCATAATCAGTTAGGCCTTGATGAGATTCTATAAGGTCTGGTACCTTGTAAAATGATCAGCACATTGTGCCCTCTACCTCTCCCCATACAAAAGACCCTGTATAAAAGGGTCAGAAAGAAACAGAGTAACTGTTCTAAAAACTATGACCATGAAAACAGAAGGAGACAGGGAAGACTCAGCGGCAATAGCATCTAAAAATTTCAGCCCACTGGAGGTGGAAGTGACAAGTTTCTGATTGGTGCATCTGGCAATTTTGTTCTCTTTATATGGAAGGGTCCTCCGTATCCTTCCGGTGAATTGATGTGTCTGTGCGCATATCTGAGGTGACTACAGTAGCATTTGTCCTTTTCAGAGGTGTTAGAATTTGTATAGCATCCTTCCCGTTGGCGAATGGTCATAGGTGCAAGGATTGTCCTGGAAATTGTCAGTGTTGAGGAACACTGTGTGTAAGAAAGAAGCCTTAAAGCAACATGAGTTATCTCTTGTTTAAGTACAGAAAACTTGACTTCTCAATAAGGCCTACCTTTCTAAACGCCCTGTCAATTTAAATTCTAGAACACCAACCAGCAAAGTTCTCCACCTTCACGCCTTCATTTTTTTTTTCAAACAGTTTTAAACACATTCATTTTTCTTAACAAAGGGTGAGGTAAGGAACAGTGTAGAGCAAAGGTTCTTCTTGTGTTAAGTCTGAGGCCAAGGTGCTGCCCATGGTACAGTCTGTGACTCCTCAGGCTTTGTCTTTATTCACAGAGTCAATTCTGGGCTATCACCAAGAAGGTTTAGGAACACAAATCAGGAAAAAGAGATTGTCCTTAAATTTGAAATGACCTTGGTTTCCACATTCCATCTGCGCACATCCTGGGTTTCTTCACTTTGTCACAAATGTGCAGATAGCTGGAAGGATGTCTGGTCATACTCAGTGCTTACAGAACTTTTTGTCAAAGACAGGCCCGTATGGAAATAATACTGATGAAAAATAGACATGGGCCCTACAAAGTCTGTTATGACAGTGAACCATCATGTTCATCTGATACTCCATTATATCTCTCAAAATCTGAAAGTGACAGTTTCTCTTTTGGTGTCATTATGTCTTTCATGAGTCATAATCATTTTCTTTAAAATTATTATATTTTAAAATATAATTTAAATAATATATCTCATTCATCATAATACCCTATTTGCCTTCATCCAAATCTTGATGACAATCCAATGATACAATACAGACATGGCACCAGATAGCATTCAACAAGTGATACAGTATACTCCAGGAAATAGAATGACATGTTTACTTAACAAAATGTGGTTACCAGTATCAGCATATTTCCCTATAAATGTTGGTCATTAAGTAATTTCTTATGTTTGCCACATTGTGAGTCTCAGAAAATTAACACGGGGATTTGATAAATCTCAGTGAGGATCCTGAATTGATTTGTATTGTTTTAATGTTTACTTTTATTTTTAGTATGTGTACATGTGTGGGTGGGGTATGTATAGATGAATGCAGGTGTCCTCAGAATCCAGAAAAGAATGTCAGATCACCTGGAGCTCTATTAGAGGTGTTTATGAGCCTCCCAATTTAGATGCTAAGAGCCTAGCTCCCTCTGCAAGAACACACTGGCCTTGAACTGCTGAGTCATGGCTCCAGCCCAGGATTGCATGATTTCTGTTAAGGTACATGTGTGAAAGAAAATACCAGTCAATGCCATTAACCGTCTATCATACAAAGATGAGGAGAATATCGATCATTCAGCACTTTTAATAGTTTCTATGTAAATACTGAAAGCTGTAAAGGCTAGGCTAAGCAATCTTAGTTTTATTCAGCTTCTTTCACTAAAATTAATGTTGGTTCACTATAAATTGCATCCTGGGAGAATAAATGCAACCAAATTTCTTTCTGTTTCTCATTTAGTTTCTAAAGCATAGAATTATTTTTTCTTTCTCTACCGTTATTTTCAATTAAATTTCAAATGCTTGATCCATTGAGACCTAGAGAAAATTCTGGAAGAATAAGAACAATATAAAGAAAGCACATTCTTTCAGCCCCTTCTTAATATTCTTCCCACCTCTGCCCACATACCCATATTCATATCTTTTTTTTTCCAAGATGGGGTTTCTCTGTGTAACAGCCCTAGCTGTCCTGGAACTAGCTCTGTAGACCAGGCTGGCTTCGAACACCTGCCTCTGCCTCCCAAGTACTGCAATTAAAGGTGTGCACTGCCAACACCACCACTGGCTGCTATGCATTCAGATCTTATGCAGTTTGATACTTGGTATGAAATCACTTTCTTGTCATAGTGCTTTATACCTAAAATGGATTTGGGGATAGGCACGGGGCTCAATAATAGAATGTTTATTTAGTGGTTTTGATCTCTAATGCTGCCAATAAAAGAAATTAGTAATACTAAGATATTAAACTAACTAATATTCAAATGGACCGATGCATTATAGCTCATTTAAACCAGACAATTTTATTTAAGGCAAGATATGATGTTTTTATAAATGTGTGCAATGACAATAAAAATGTAAGAATTACCAAAATAGCAACTTTTCTACTTTTTTTGCATATTATTCTTAAAATGTCCAAGGTGAATGAAACCACCCATTTGCGTGATGTTTACCCTCCCTTAGACAGTTAACCCTTGTGTGCCATAAATCTTGAGAAGCTGTCATATGCCAAGCACTGCTATAGAAAATCAGGCCTGGGACAGCAACAGAAAGCAAATAAGGGAGATAAAAATACTCAAACCTGCAGGCCTAAGCACATGTGAGAATCAGCATGCCTTCTGTAACAGGAGAACATTCTGGAGCATGTTGTGCCTTGAACTGAGTAAGGAAGGGGGATATTGGTAGCGTGGAGCCTGAATTAACAGACTTTTATACAAGTCTCATCTTTTTTTTTTCTTCAAGGCCATTGGGAGGCCTTCTGTGGACTTTTGAGTAGAGAAAGACTGATGATTTAACATATCTGTGACAGTGACTGCTGTGTAGAAGACAGGACAAAAGCAGTGAGAAGGTGTTGAATCATTTCAGAGACAAATGGAGGCATCTTTCACTAAAGCTGCAGCTGTGGAAAGGCTGGGACATGTCCACACTCTGTACATATTTGCAGGGATAAATTAAAGAACTTGCTGTTGGGCTCTAACATTGCGAGTGAGATGAAAGAGAGAAGCCCACACATTGTCACTTGGGTGTGACACTAAACAGGTTTCCAGTGATGGTGATGGAAGAATAAAAAGGGGACAAATGTGAGGTGGGAAGGAAATCACGTGCTTTTTTTAATTGGTAAAAGTTTGTTTTGGTATGTGAATAGAAATTGCACTAGGCTACCCCGTACTTGAAAGCAGAGCGCAGGTGCCAATGATGGAGATGTAATTGAGAAGTCCTAAGAATAGGGTGGGTGATTAGACACAGATACAGATGACACAGATGAGGTTGCTTCTGGGGTTAGAAGAAGACATTTCCAGAGAAATTTCTAATAAATGAGAGTAGGTGGTTGGGAAACAGGAAGTTTGCTAATAGAGAAAACAAATGAAGAAACGAATTATAAATATCTCAAAGCAAATGGTTTCATGTGACTTCAGAGGAACATCACGGTGTATTTGAACATGTCAGGATCTGGACAAGACGACTTTGAGTAGGTTCCTGGAAAATAGCCTGATGTCATCAAAAGGAAGCAAGGGGATTGTGGGTGGATGGAGTGAGTACTGCTGTCTGGTCAGGAAATGTTACTGCGAAAGCACACATAGAGAGGGGCTGACCTGCAAAGGATGGGCACCAGTTGACTTGAGGCCCCTAAGTGTTGCTGTGGGGCCAAGTAAGAAACAACCATGGGGGGGGAGCTGTGATCCTTTGAAAAGAAACAGAACACAAGTGCCATTTGCAGTTATTTAATGTGGAAAAACTGGGTGAAAGTAAACAACTTAAATATTTTGATAAGTCTATAAACTAGAAAAGAAGATGTAGATTTTTAATGTTGTGGTGATAAAGCACAAATAGCAGGCAGCTTTTTCTTCAAAACAGACTCTACCTTTCCTGTCATCAACTTTTGAAGTGTTAGACTTGCAATGAGGGGAAATTTAATTGACCACATACAAAGGTAGATTTGAAGACCAACTGACACAGCACCAAAATAAATAATAGATAGGTAGGTGAAAAATATATTATAGATAGGTGATTGTTAGATATCAGCGGACTGATAAATAGATGACAGATGATGGAGATGGATAGATGATAGACAGATAAACAGATGATATAGTCATAGCACTTCTTGTCAATATCCTTCATTTTTCTTGCTGAGTAGTTTTTTTTTTATGATAGTGTTTTATGCCTGGAGTTAACTGGGATATTACCTTGGCACACTTTTGACTTGGAATTTCTTGTGAAGATCTAGTTTTGAAACTTCTGCTTACTGAATCATTGATTCCTGTCTAAATCTGTTGCAGCGTGCCTGAATACTATGACTATGGTCATGGAGTAAATGAGGATGCCTATGACAGCTATGGTAAGATTTTTTCCTTGCTATGGTTATGAGATCAGAACTGCCATCTGTCACTGACAACGGAGAAATTACTTCTATGTCCACCTCCCTGCCCTATTTTCACAGAAGTACTGGCTATGGTGATTTATGTAATTCCACAGTAAAACTTGACTTACAGAACCGGTGCAGAAAATTGGACAGATCAATTTTGATCAAAATTCCAAAGGAAATTAATCACAATCACAGATCATTTCTGCAGCATGATTGAGCAGTCAGTATGCTACAATGTTTAAGCATGCCCACTGCTACAGTCTTTGATGTAACCCAATATTGCATCCTTCCTATTGTCACAAGAATATCAGTATAATCTATGTCTAAAATATTTTTGGACTTGCAAGTGCAGATATTTTTATTATATAATGACCTTCAAATTATTTTTCCATCACATGTATCTCTTAAAATTCCAAACAAACTTTAACTTGTAGGCATTAGCAATTGATAAAAATATTAGTCTATGAAGTTGATTTCAAAATGTATTATTGAATCAAGAATACCACTTAAGATTAACCATAATTCTATCTAGTAAGCACTTGCCTAGTGACTGTGGTCTGTCTATACAATACAACACTTTGATGGGTCGGGCTCTGTAAAATGTTCAGTTAACAGTTTTGCCTTGAAAAATGACATTTAGACATTTATTTTCTTGGATTTTCATTAAGGCCCCTCTTCCTCTGATGGAAAATAAAGAAGACAATGATGTTATCTATCTGTTTGAAGGTCCATGTCATGAAAGTGCAGTGCTATGTCAGTATGGAGAAAGAGAGACACAGATTTGGGGCAGGGGAGAGGATGGAGCAGAGGAACAGGTCAGGGAAGGAAATCACAGATGGTCATGTGGGAGATGAAGGAATAAAGATCACAAAGAAGAATAGAATCACCCTTAGAAACAGTCATTCTTAGTTAAGACCATGGCACACCATCAAGAGAAAACAAATACCACTATGACCAATGCCAAACAAGAGCTAATGGCTATCACATAATTTCATACATATATGTTCATTTCTGCTGACTTATTAAGCAATTTATCCCATTTTCCCAAGGAAACTCAATGACGGGGGTGGGGTGCAGGCAATGTGAGAGTATAGCTCGAAGACTCCCTTTCTTTTCCTCTACTGCATCAGCACTTGCACTTTGACTCACTGTTGCTGTCACATATGAGTGCTTGTTCTGGACTAAGCAAAACCTAATGAAGGCTAAATAATATGAGAATGACCCTAATTAGAAAGTATGGGATCTGGGAGTACAGCTTACACTGGAGCATTTGACTAGAGTGTATGAGGAAGGGGTGTTCCACAAAGTGTCGGGGGGGCATATAGATATATATGATCTACATCACCATCCTCTGGAGAACATTCTCCACTCATTACCTGCGTTTTGAAGATGAGGGAGCAATGGAAGTGGCTATTCCTCAGTGAAAACAATAGCATGAAACAGAACCCCCAAGTATCTGATTGACATCCCCCCCAAAGATGGGAGCAGTGATTCTCAGGGAAAGAATAAGATCTGATACTTTAATCTTGGTAGGGTCACCACTGCCCAGCTAGGTTGAAGTACAAAGCTGAGCACCCCATGGGATCTACAGTTCTTTATGTTCAACAAGAAAATGGCTATACGTGTCATCTTCCAAGCCTATTCCTAGTTTTACAGGAAACAATTCCAGTTAGTGACTGAAAATGATAAATGAATAAGAGACAAATCTAGTTTTTCTGCTTTCATCAGAGAGGATGCTAAAGTGTAGCTTTCTTTGGTCATCCTGAATACAGGATCATCTGACACCAGGTACCTCCACTGTTTCCCTCCACTTTAACCCAGTGAGATCAAAGTCATGTACCTGAGGTAAATTAAGCTGTCTTAGTTTCTATTGCTGTACAGAGACACCATGGCCACAGAGCAAAACTTAAAAACATTTCATTGGGGCTGGTTTACATTTCCAGAGGCTTAGTCAGTCCATGATCACCATGGTGGGGAACATGGAAGCTGGAAGTATGGTTTCATGCAGGCAGACATGGTGCCGAACAATTTGTCACCCTAATCTGACGGCAACAGGAAGTAAACTGAGATAGTGGATGTGGCTTAAGCACCTCAAAGCCCACCTCCACAGCGAAACACTTCCTTCAGCAAAGCCACACCTTCTAATAGTGCCACTCCTTATGGGGGGCCACTTTCCTTCATACCACCTCACAGAGACTAAGCCAATGCTGCATCTGCCTTGGCCTCTGTGTTGTTTTGAATGAGAGTAGACCCCCTTGGCTCATGTGTTTGAGTACGTGGCCCCCAATTAATGGAACTGTTTGGGAAGGATTAGGAGGAATGGCTTTGTTAGAGGAGTTGTGCCACTGAGGGCAGACTTTGAGGTTTCAAAAGACTCACGCTATTCCCAGTGTGATGTCCTTCTCTTCTTGTTCACCAAGTTGGAGTTCTCTTGATGCCTTTCTTCTTCTACCACGGACTCTAGCCCTCCGAAATAATGAAACCAACTTAAGTACTTTCTTGTAAGTTGCCTCTGCCATGGTTTCTTATCACAACAATAGAAAAATAATCATGACAACCTCCCAGATTCATTTCCTAGGTCCGTCCCCCCAAAAAGTCAGTGATGACATTACCAAGGCAACTGGAAATTAGAAAAGTCTGAGGATGATAGTCAACCTGACCATTTAGAACAGAGAGACCCAGGCTAAAGATGTACCTTCTGCCTTTGCCCTGATCATCAAAGCTGTCAAGGAGTCACCAAGAGTCAGGAAGCAGCAGAAAAACATTAAACGCCATGGGAAAACCACTTTGATGAGACTGTCAACATTGCTTGACAGATGTGGTAATGGTCTTACCCAGACAACTCTCCAGAACTATTAAGAAGATTTTGGGTATTGAACAATATGTAAGCCAAAATGTGGATGGCTGCCACTCTCATGACATCATAGATGGCATCAGCAATGGTGCCTTGGAAGCACAGCTAGTATGAAAGCAAGGGGCTTTTACCGTATCTGCCTTCTCACATGCACCCTAACCACCCTCCCCAACCATCCCCCACCCCAATTCCATATGTAGGGCAATGTCATCCAGTTGGGGTCATGTAGATCTGACAGGTCATTTGAAGTAGGGACTAGGGCTTCTCTCCTGTCTCTAGGTTACGGCAGTTATCCCTCCATGGGGGATCTGTTCTCAAGGTCCTTTTGTGCACCAGGGATACATCCTGGTTCTACTGTCTTAGGTCCGTTAGACTGCTCCGTCCTTCTGGATGAGACCCATATTCAGGGGGGCTGAGTCAGTCCCATGCTGGCTTCCTAGCTATCAGTCTTGTGGCCCGTTAGCTCCTCCTTGTTCAGGTCAGCTGTCTCTATGTGTTTCTGCAGCCTGGTCTTGTCCTCTCCATCTACACCTGGGTTCTAGTTCGACTCAGTGTTTATGTATGGGTGTTTGCTTCTGTTTCCAGCAGGTATTAGATGGATAAGTTAGTTATCCATCCATGGATAAGTTAGTTGTTGATCTCACTATCCAGGAAGGGCATTTATGGTAGCCTTTGCATGGAAGCTCAAATTGTTAGTTGGCGGCAGTCTTGTAGGTCCTAGACCTTTCTTTGGGTTCAATTTTCTCTTCAAACCAATATTGGCTCCCTCTTTTATGTTTTCTCTCTCTCTCTTTCTCTCTCTCTCTCTCTCTCTCTCTCTCTCTCTCTCTCTCTCCTGTCTTCTATTCCTACTCAATCTTCCTAGTCACACGTGTTTTCCTCTCCTCCCCCTCTCTTTCTCCTACTTCTCTCTCCATTCGCTCCCCCCCCCACTTCCCCTGTGCTCTGGGGGACTTGTCCCTGCCCAGTTCTGTGAGGGACTTTATATGACTCTCTTAGAATACACCTTGTATCCTAGTTCCTCTGGTGGTGTGAATTATAGGCTGGTGATCCTTTGATCTAGGTCTAAAATCCATATATGAGTGAGTACATACTATGTTCCTCTTTTTGTGACTGGGTTACCTCATTTAGGATGGTTTCTTCAAGTGCCATCCACTTAATAGGCTGTAAGTGTGCTTTGAGTTTTTTTGGTCAACATTTAGAATGCATGTATGTCATGATTTTATTGCTGTTGTTGGTAATGTGTGTGTGTGTGTGTGAACTGAATATTTACTTATTTATTCCATAACTTTAAGAATGCAACATCATGCTACATTGCCCACACTAGTTTCAAACTGTGAATTCAAGTAATTCTCCCCAGTTAAACTCCCAAGTATCTGGGTCTCCATTTTATATAGTTTATTTTGTGTATCATCAGAAGAAAAGAATTTTTGTCTCCTTGAGGTTCATGCTTAATTGTTGAAGAAATATAAATTACATATCTGTAGGTAGCATTAAATATTAAGTGCTTTCCTTGCAACACTATAATACTAAAATTTGTATGTAGCTAAATATGTAAATGTATTGATTATAAGGAGCATTTAATATTTAGTGTGTTATTGGCTCCATTTTTATTAAACTAACATTCATGACATTTTTTAGAATTAATTTATTTTTAGAGAATGAATATTTGATTAGTAAGAATTTAAAATCAGTTTCTGCACATCTAAAATATTTTCTAATTAAACCAGAATTACTAAAATTATTTTGGATATGTCTGAATAGCTCATAATTCAATGGGGATGTATTTTAATTACAGGCCAAGCATTAGCTAACCCAAGCAAGGCTTCACATGAGAAACACCCTCTTCATTCTCTCTGAGATTGACAGCTATGAATGGACAGCAATATTATCTTCTCAGAGAAAAGAGCTGTTTATTAAAATGTATTTAATGTATGAACCAGAGAGCTAATTATGCATCCATTCGTTAGTGGCGTTTTAAATGACAGCTGTGTGGAACCAAGAAGGATAATATTAATACACTGTCTTGAAATGAATGGAAGCAAAAAGAAATTGGGCACTGCATTTCAATCCAGGACTCCAGAGTGCTGCACTTCGAGAAGATTGCAGCACACAAACA